AAAAAAAAAAAAAAAGAAAGCAAAGAAGGATGGAAAAGATGGAAAAGAACAGGTCCCATGTAAGGATATTGCAATAATGCATCTGAAAGGTTGAATATCTAGAGAATACATATATAAATATATCGAGGTATGTATGTTTATATATGTCTGGATCTTATAGACCCATTTGCATTTTACTCCTGCTCTAAAATCCCTTTTATACAAAGGAGCTGCCTCTCTTCTTTCATGAACTGTATAAATAATCATATTTTTTTTCTAAGCACTAAGGTGAGAAAATAGACTTTCCTCTCGAGGAGAATATGTATGCAACTGCCTTGTATGTGTGGCTCTTCCCGGTGCAGTCTATGTTGTATTTTCCCAAGGCTTTTCATGTGTCTTTAAGTCTCTTACAGTTGGAATAGTTCTGCCAGAGGATGCTGGTGATGTGCTAGAAAAATCCAAGGGCGGTTTCTGAGTGTGTCCTAGGGAAGCCAGACAGCCCAGGTGGAATATTTGCCATCGGTACCGGAGGGTGAAGCATTACAGAGCTAATATTCACAGCACAATGCCTTTTTAGCAGATATTTTTAATTAGAGTTTAGCCATTGACAGCCAAAGTTCTACCATATTTTGATACACCACCGTTTTTTAACTGGAAGCTTTTCTTAAAAAAAAAAATTATAATTATTTTATAAATAAGCACAATCTTATTTTTGTAAGAAATGTTGGGGGAGGGAGCCAAGAAAGGGGAGCTGGTACCAAAAGAAAGGGAGCGTAGCTAGAGACATGGTGCCAAAAAACCTCGGTGTTATTGGGATTTTTGGGATGTGGGAGCAGGTGTGGGAGAGCTTCAGGTGCTGCTGTGGGACTGTGGCACTGGCAGCGTGTCCCCACCTCAGGATTTTGCATGACATGAGGGATTTTATGGGAAAATAATGTTGATATCCAAGTGCTGGTGTGGCAAGCAGGAGGATGGTGGTCCCTAAAGTATCCTTATCTCCCTAAATCCACACAGGGCAGCTGGTGGATGCTGCCTGGGGGCTCAGGGCTGTGTGCCCTGCTCTGGTTTTGGGGGGACACCCCAAAAGCTTCTCCTGTGAGTGCCACATCCGAGGCTGGGATCCTGTTTGCCTCTCCAGATCCCCATCCATGGATGGATTTGTGGTGTGTGCACCAGCACTGTGGGTTTCCATGTTGGTACAGGCAGGAAAATTCCCCAAATTCACCCCCAGCCTCTTTTTTTCCCCCCTCTGCTGGGGAGTCATGCTGGCACCCCCTCCATCCACAGGATCCTCACCCACTGCCCTGCCGAAACACGGAGCTGGAGGGGAAAAAAAGGGATAAATTGTGGAAAGAAATGCTTGACACTGCTCAGAATTGGGCAGGGGGGCAGCTAAACCAGGGCCTCTCCATTCCTCCCCCTCATCCCATTATCCTGAAGCTGGACTGGAGTGTTGGAGTGATGGGGTTGGGATGATGTGTTGGGCTGTGATGGAGCTCACCCCTGGACAAGCAGGAGCAGTGCCAGGGTGCAGGGGGGACACAGAGGTGCCATTGGAGCAGGGGGGACACAGAGGTGCCATTTATTCCCGTTTATTCCGCAGGTGGCCGGGGCGGCTCCGGCAGGGACCGGGAGTGGCCGTGCCCGCCCTGCCCCTCGGGCCGTTCCCCCTGCAATAACGAGCTGTCTGTCTGCACAAAATAGTCCTTTCTGTGAAAGGATCTTCCCGTCGGGGGGCGATGGGAGAGCCAGTGACTGTGTTGCAAAAGGAACAAAGAGAAAAAAAAAAAAAGAAAAGGAAAAAAAAAAAAAAAAAAAAACTCAAGGAAAACTGTACGAACTTCCCCCCCCCCCAAACCCCCGGAGCGAAATTCTTTTGTACCAATGAAGTTTGTTGTGTGCCTTTCGCGGTACGGCTGGACGTGACAATAAAGTGACAGTTGTTTGCATCGTTTTGACTCGTGGAGATCTGAAATGCTCCCAGGCTTAAGGGAGGGGTCTGAATTTAAGGACACGCTGCGTTTATTGTGCTCTCTGCTCCGGCGATCTCGGCTCCGGAGAGCTGGTTAAGGTAACTCCTGCCTCGGGCGGGGGAATGGATGGGCTGAGCCTTTCAGTTCTGATTTTTGGGGCGATTTTTATGGAAGTGGCAGCCAGGTCCAGCGCTCTGGAGCTGGGTGGAGGTGCTGGGGGAGCTGCAGGAGTTCCTGAAATAAGTGGGGTTAGGGGGCATCCATAGTAAGGGATGTAGATCCTGTGCTCCTTGCAGCTGTGCTTCCCGAGGGGATGTTCAGAGGGGTCCTCAACTCGCAGGAGTCCTGGGATAAAGGGGTGAGCCCCTTGTTGTGGAGCTGGTTAGGAAAAGCCTGTCCCCAGGGCCCCCAGTCCTGCTCCCCACCTCGGGTAACAGGCAGGAGTGACCAGTGTGATGAGTGAGTCCATCCTCTGCCGGCCATGCTCCACCCCTTTAATCCCACTTTCTCCCTCCCCCTCTTCTTGGAGCGAGGTCTCCTTAGGGACAATAGGATGAGTGTTTGGGAGCAGCAGCCAGGTGAGTTTTCCCAAGGGAGGATCCTAAATTGATGTTTTTGTGTGAACCACCTGGTGTGTGATAGAGGGTTTGTGCTGCTTTTCTCCTCCACAACACCCAGGAGCACCATCCCATCTCCCACTAGTGCTAATTAAACTCCTCAGAACATAATTAGCCAGCCCTTTTCCTTGTGATTTTGCCAGTTTTTGCTGATCCTGGCATCTCCTTCCTCCAACCAAGGAAAACTGTTATGGATGGTACAAACACCCACAGCCTTTCCGTGTCCCCATTCCCAGCTGTCGGAGCATCTCTGGATCCTCAGTGTATTTATCTTCTCACAGGGATAGGGTGTGGAGTGACAGGACAAGGGGGAATGGCTTCCCACTGCCAGAGGGCAGGGTTAGATGGGATATTGGGAAGAAATTCTTCCCTGTGAGGGTGGTGAGGCCCTGGCACAGGTTGCCCAGAGAAGCTGTGGCTGCTCCACCCCTGGAAGTGTCCAAGGCCAGGTTGGAAGGGGCTTGGAGCAACCTGGTCTAGTGGAAGGTGTCCCTGCCCATGGCAGGGGTTGGGATGAGATGATCTTTAAGGCCCGAACCATTCTGGGATTCTAAGATTTCATGAAGATGCTGAAGAGCCTGTTCTCCCATAGGGAAGCAGCACCAGTAAAGCTTCTGGAGTGGTTTCTCCCAGTACAAGCCACTGTCCTGGGAACCTGGATGCAACCATGCCCTACTTTAAGGCTGGGGGGCCCAGGAGTATGAAGCATCCCTAGTTTCTGCCTGCCTTTGCTGTCCATCCCTCCAAACACTCTGGGAGAGAGATGAGGATGGAGACATGGGGCTGTGCCCCTCCAGCAAGGGGTATCCCCACTGCTCCCCTCCCCTGGCACTCTCAGCACCCACAGCACCAGGAGCATCCTGTGCCTTTTCTATGGGCTCCAAAAATAATTGCATGTTACCAGAGAATTCCCTTTGTCCTCTAAAAATACCCCTTGGCCCCAGCGAGGCGGGCACTGACCGTGGCCGCTCTCGGTGCCTAATTGCTGATTTCTGCTGAGACCCGACATTTTCGGGGCAGGAGGGAGGAGCACGAGAGAATCAGCAACTTCTGGGAGGGGGACTGCATTGTCTGCTGCTAAGTATAGCCTCCAGATTTCAGCCCTGGCCTAAAAAAACCCCTAAATTTTCCTACAACCAGATGTGGAAGGGTTTTTTGGACCAGCCAGCCCTGTCTCCCCAGGGGTGAGGAGGGGAGCCGGCTCTTCCCTCCCCATGGGCTGTGTTTAAGAAGGGCTAAATAGGAATGAATTTAATGAATCCCCCTCCCTTTGATGACTCGGCCTCCATTTCTCCTTCATCTTGCCACGGGAGAGGTCTCCAGGGGAGGGAAAGGTCCTCCAGTTCCCATCCCGGCGTGTCCCCAGGCACCCACGCTGGCCTTTTCCCTGGGATGCTCCCGGCTGCTGGCAGCCCTCCTGCTGCTCTGAGTTACCATTTCACAGATTTAAGCTCTGACAAAAAGGCTGCACTTGGGCCACCTCACCTCCAGTTTCTCCACTTCCAGACTTTGCACCTCCCGTCACCATTTGGTGGCAGCCGGAGAAGCCCAAGACTTGGGATTTGTAGGGCGACAACACAGGGAAATGGCACCTTTATGGAGCCAACTGCAAAATGCACGATAGAAAAAGGGAAATGTTGCAGTTGTATCCTTAATTTATCAATTAATTTTGCAACCAGATCCAAGTAAGAGCTGCTTTTTCCTGCTGTTAAGCAGCGATGGCTGTGCCAGGGCGGGTGCCTGGCACAGCATCCTCCTTTTATCAGCCCTTCCAAAACAGGCTGGACATACCCATCAACACCACCCCAATCAGGCACCAATGACTAATTGGTGATAATTACAAAAAAAATCCCCCGTGTGCTGGTGTGTTTTTCAGGGCATTTTTGGCCCCCTGAAATTATCACCGGTTGCAGCAGTTTTAATTAACGCGGCGTTGGGGTCAACGTGTAGGGGTGGGGGTATCGTGCCATTGCCAGCTCCATGCTGGGTGCCAGGGGGTGCCAGTGGGGTGCCAGGGCTCCAGGGACAGCTGTGGGCGGGGGTTTTGGGTGTCGGGGTGCCGTGCCAGGGTTGAGCTCCCGCGCCCTGCTTGGAGGGCAGCGGAGGAAATCAGTCATCGAGTGTTGCTGTGGAAACGGGAGGGGAAACTTGGTTTGTGGCAGCCAGTGCCTCCCTGCCAGGAGCCCTGTGGAGCCTGGCCAGTGGAGGGGTGACACACAGCCCCCCTGTGCCCACTGCTGAGGCCCCGGGGGGCTCCCTCTGACACCCTCTGCGGGATGCTCCAACGGGAAGCTGCATCCCACAGTACTGCTGCTGCTGCTGGGGGCACTGGCACGGCTGTTTTGGGGGGCTGTGCTACACCCCAGCTCTGCTCTGCCCCTTCCCCAGCCCTGTCTGAGGAATACATGAATGTTCTTTCATAAAATCATGGAATCATGGAGCAGTTTGGGTTGGAAGGGACCTTAAAGTCCATTTTGTTCCACCCCCTGCCATGGGCAGGGGCACCTCCCACTAGATCAGGTTGCTCCAAGCCCCATCCAACCTGGCCTTGGACACTTCCAGGGGTGGGGTATCCCCAAATTCTCTGGGCAACCTTTGCCAGGGCCTCACCACCCTCACAGGGAAGGATTTCCATGAGCACACAGCTGGGCTGGCAGCGGATTTTTCAAGGGGTAGATGAAAGAAAGGAAAAAGCCACTTTATAAAAACCCAACCAGCAACCTTGTGCTTCCAAAATCTTCCAGCTGAAATCCCAAAATCTGGGCATGTGGGCTTTTACTGATTGAAAAGAAAACATAAAATACTGAGTGATCCCTGAGATGTGCCCTGGATGGGAACTTTAGAGCTGGGAAGGGCTTGAGGGGACAGGGAAGGGCCTGGGCTGTTGGTTGGGGTTGGGGAGGGAGTAATAGAGGGTTTTGAGGGGCTCAGGGGACACGAGGGATTTAGGAATGGGGTGTTTGGAGCCGTGTGTTGTGTGGGGCGAGGGAGTTCAGGGGGGCTGTGGGTGCAGGGATGGGTATGTGGGGTTTGGGATGTGTGATGGGGTGCAGGGGGTGTAGGGTGAAGGGCGTGTGACGGGTGCAGGGTGTGTGATGGGGTGCCGCAGATGTGGGGTTCAGGGTGTGTGATGGGTGCAGGGGGGTTGTGGGGTGCAGGGAATGTGGGTGCAGGATGGGGGTACGGTGGGTGGGTGGAAGGGCTGTGGGGTTGGTGCGTGACATGTGTGGGGTGCAGGGTCGGGGGGGGTGAATGGGGGGCATAGAACAAGGGGCTATGGAAGGGACGGGGACAGGGACAAGGGACTACGGAAGGGACTGGGGCAGGGACGGGGACAGGGAGATGAGCAGAGCCAGGGAGAGGGACCGACGCAGGGTGAGGGACACGGGAGGAGGCGGCGGGGTCTGGGGAAAGGCGATCTGCAAAACCTGGGGGACGGAGAGGAGAGGAGAGCAGCAGGAGGAGGAGGAGGAGTAGAGGAGGAGGAGGAAGTCGGGGCTGAGCCGCTTCCTGTAGGCAGCGGGATGAGCGCAGACAAAGCTGGGTGGGGACTCGCCGCTCGGGGCTGCTGCTGACCACCCTCCTCCTCCTCCGGCCGCATCCCTCCGGCCCTCCCTCCTCCATCCAGCCCTCCCTCCATCCATCCCTCCATCTCTCACAAACGTCCGTCCATCCATCCCTCCATCCCTCCGTCCGTCCCGCCGCCGCCGCCGCCCGCCCCGCGGGGCACCACCGCCCGTCTCCAGGTACCGCCGGGCACACGGGGGGAGCCGGGGCTGGGGGCGCTGGGAGCACTGGGAGCACTGGGAAGGCTGGCGCTGGCCGCACTGGCGCACGGTGGGGCTTGGCAGGGCGGTCCCCACCCCCGCCACTCGCTGTCACTGACCCCCGCGGGGACCGAACCGCTCCCAAATCAACAGAAAATCCCCCCAAATCCCGCAGGATGCCAATCCCCGCATCCCCCCAACCCCACGGGGACCCCACAATCTCAGGGGACCACGGGAGACGCGGGGGTCCCACCCCGCCGGGGGCTGGGAGCCGGGAAGGTGCCTTGTACGGGGAGTTCAGTCTCCCAACAAAGGTTGGATTTAGAGGGTTTGATCCTCCTTAATCAACTGATTTGCCATCACAGGGAAGGCTTTTTCTGCGGATGAATGAGATGTAGTGTTCTTTCTTTCCCTGTTTTTTTTAATCATGGGAAGGAACGGGGAGACTTTCCCAACCCCAAATCCCTGCAGCAGCCTCAGCTGGGATGGATCTGCCCCAACCTGGCTTGGAGGGGTTGGGGGGCAATGTCCCTGCAGGTGGAGGGGCATCCATGCTGCCATCCCTACAGCAGGATGCCCACCATTTCTATAAAAATCCTAATTTTTCCCAGCAGTGGTTTGAGGGGCGAGCGCTTTCGGTGAAGGAACCCCGGGAAAATCACCGGGAAGATGTGCTCAGGGAAACCTGGTCCAGGGCTTGCTTTCCCCGGTGGGAGGGGAATCCAGCAAAAAAAATGGCAAGAGGGGAGATTTGGGTGAGGTATCAGGAGAAGATTCTGCCCTGTGAGGGTGAGGCCCTGGCACAGGTTGCCCAGAGAAGCTGTGGCTGCCCCTGGATCCCTGGAAGTGTTCAAAGCCAGTTTGGATGAGGTTTGGAGCAACCTGGGCTAGTGGAAGGTATCCCTGCCCATGGCAGGGTGGGGTGGAATGAGATGATATTTAAGGTCCCTTCCTGCCCAAACCGTTCTGTGATTCCATGATTCTTGCCTCCTTGGTGGAGAATGATTTATATTTAAGGCAAACCTGGATGCACAGCGATACCCCTCCCATTAATCAATTGCTAATGAGTTACTAATGAACTTAAAGCACGGTACCCAAAGGGCAGTGGCTCGGAGCAGGAACGATCTGCCACTGCTGTCCCTGCTGCCGCAGGTTCTCTGTGTTCTTTCTTTCCCTGTTTCCCTCTGGCCTCACCAGCAATCCCGTGCTCCCTGGCCACGAGTGGGAAAAGGGGCAGGGACCGTGTGGATGTGGATGGCAGCAGCACATCCCCTGGCAGCAGGCTGGAGCCAGGCACTGAGGATTTTTCCTTATAACTGGATTTCCCTGAATGCAACTGGAGCATGCGATTTTAATCCTCTTTCCTACCATATGGCCGCTGGCTGGATTGAAATATGACTCAATTAATTATTGCCAGGAAAGCCCCGGGGCGAAGCCTTTCTCCAGGAGGAGGTTTGGAGGTGCTCCCGGGGTTATAATGGGGCTTTTCTCACCCCGTGCCATGGGATAGAGGGGCACGTGGCTCAGCCCCATCCTGCCCCAGCTTCCTTGGCACTGGTTTTGGGGCTTTTTTTGGCATTTTCAGCCTTGCAGGAGGAAGCAGAGATGCTGCTTGATGCTGTTCACACGATGTGCTGCCGGCTGTGACATGACTTTGGCACTCTCAGCATCACCTGGATAACACCTGGAGTCAGCCTTGTCCCCAAAATGGGGTATTCCCATCTTGGGAGGACCTGTGGGTTCCCCCCCCCCCATTAACATGGTGCCTCCACATGCCTGTCGTCTCTCCCAAATTCCCTGGGAGCTGCCAGCTTTGTTCCCAGTGGATAATATACCAGCATTAAGGATCTCATGGTGTTTTCTCCAGGCTCCTTGCAGTCGTGAGCTGGTGGTGGCCTCTGGGGCACATTTTGGATCTGGGGGAGATGATATCCAGGGCATAAGGATTATCAAGGCCAGGAGCAGGCAATCCTGATGGGATTCCCATGGATAGATGGCTGCGAGCTGGTGACAGAGCTCTATTATTATTATTATTATTATTATTATTATTATTATTATTATTAATCCCCAAACCATCCTGCTCCTTTGCCACCCAGTGCCAACGTGGCAGCAGGAGGAAAATGCAATAAAAAGGCGACTTTGCCAGGGTGGGCAGTGCCATCCCACGTGGCAGCCCCGCAGATGCTCCCAGTGGGATTCCAGAGCTTTGGCCTGGGAACGGCGGTGGCCAAGGCACCACTTCTCCTCCTGAAACCCAGTGAGTCACCAAAGGAGGACAGCCAGGCACCGGCACAGGCTGTTACCATAGTAATTAGGGCTGGAGAGACGGTGCTGGAGCCCCACAGACCCGCCTGTGTCCCCAGAAAGTGCTGCCCGGGGGTGTCCATGCCGCTCCATCCCACGGATCGGCGCCGGGATGCTCCAGGCTGGCGCGCCCGTGACACGTGTGGTGCCACCGGGGACCACGGGGCTGCACCTCCTGCTCCCTCCTGCTGGATTGACCCACTTTGGGTTGGGAATAAGGGGTTCACTGCAGGAAAAGCACCATTTTTGGCATGAGTTGCATCCGTTCTCAGAGGGGCTTCTCCAAGCGTTTCACTCCTGCACCTGGAGTGGGATGCGGGAGCGGGATATGTCCGTGTGCATTCACAGCCAGCTCAGAAACAGGAGGAATGAGCAAAGGGGTTAGGGTGGGTTTTCAGTTTTTCCTGCTTTTCAGGCTCTTTTCTCTCTGTTTCTCCCTCTCTGGTTTCTCGCTCAGCCCCTTTTTGGGGTCGCAGCAGCTGCTGGGAGGAGGGATGGGGGGAAAGGCAACAGGATATGGTACCCCATGATGCAGAACAGGATGTGGGATGCATCCTGGTCCACTTACCAGGAAATTTTTGCACTTGCCCTTGCTCAGTTTTATTCCCTGCTCACTCCCAGTGCGGCCTCAGCCCCTCCTCATGTGCATTTTTCCTCCTCCGTGCCACATGCATGGTGCAAATTCCCCCAAAACCCAACCCTCTAAAGCACGGGAGCAGTGTTGCACCTCCAAAATCCTGGGGAGAACAGCAAGGGGAGGCTCCTGGTTCTGCTGCTCTTGGGGAAGCGCGTGATGGCTGCGGAGAACACGGGCTGTCATTCCCAGCTCTCCGCACACGCTTGGCACGAGACGTTTGGCACTCGCCCCGTGGAAAAGCAGGTCTGAGCTGGGGAGAAGGACGGGCTCCAGCTGCCAGGAGGACACGGATTTGGCTCCGTGGGGAAGTCAGGCTTGCTCCAAAACCCATCTGACGTGTCTGGGATGGTGTCTGTCAAGCGTGGACTTTGGGTCAGGCCAGTGATTAATTAATTAATGGTGTCTTTGATTAGAGATGTGCGAGTGAATCGCCGGCGCTTGGCGGGCTGGGAGGCAGCGGGAGCTGGATGTTGGATCAGAGGACCACAGGATCACAGGATGGCTTGGGTTGGAAGGGACCTGAAGGACCATCTGGGATGAGTGAGGATGCAGCTGTGCTGAGGCTGAAGTCTAAAATCACTCTTCTCCTGTGTTTCATGTCGGAATGATGGACTTCAAACACCAAACCAAATTTTTCACAGGCTCAGTGGGAAAAAAAACCCTCTGAAACGGCATCATACCAAGCCTTAAAAAATCAGCAACTTGCAGTTGAGACATCCTTGATAATTCATGGGAAGCAGCTGTGCCAGGACCTGCTTATCCTACCAAACACCATTAGTTTTCACCTTATCTCGTCCTTCCCTTGCTTTTCACACAGCAGTTTTCTTCCCCTGTAGTCCATTGTCATCATAACTCGGGTTAATTAGTTTATCCCAGGGAAGGTCCAGGTGTTGCTGGATTGTGGCCAGAGGGTCCTGGCACCACAGGGAGGTTTCTGGTGGTGAGAGATGCTTTCCTCCAGCATCCACAGACCCGCTGAGCTGTGGGTTGGTTATTTCAGGGGTGTGGCTGTGCCCCCCAAAGTGCTGTTCCGGGCACAGCTGGGCACCCTGGAGCCGTGGATAAGCTCCTTTGGCTGAGTTGGTGTCTCAGTTTAACAGGTTTATCATCCTGCCCTCACTTGCTCTCCCTAGAGCTTCGGGAAGGAAAGTTGGCTCTGTTCATCCTGTGATGATCCCTACAAGTGGCTCTCCTGGCTGGAAAGGTCCTGGCTGGGCAGCTGGGTTAGTGAGAGGAATGACTTAGGTGGGAAGGACCAGCCTTGCCCGAGCCTTGGGATCCTGAGCGTCAGTGCTCCTTCCTGGACCTCATGAAATCTGTCCAAAGGGAAAAAAGTCCCTGGCAGAGCATGGGATATTCCCACTGCAAAGTCCTCTGCGTTGCTGGTTTTACCCCACACCGGGCTGCTTGGCATCCTTCCTCCTTCTGCCTGCAGCATCCTCTGACCAGGGCGGATAAATCGCAGATCCAAAGCCTGGCTGCTGCCTTCTGGAGCTGCCTGTGCCCATCCCTGCAGGGAAAGCTGCCTGATCCCATCCTTGCAGGCAGAGCTGCCTGTGCCCATCCCTGCAGGGAAAGCTGCCTGATCCCATCCCTGCAGGCAGAGCTGCCTGTGCCCATCCCCGTGGGCAGAGCTGCCTGTGTCCATTCCCAGGGAAAGAGCTGCCTGTGCCCATCCCTGCAGGCAGAGCTGCCTGTGCCCATCCCCAGGGAAAGAGCTGCCTGTGCCCATCCCTGCAGTCAGAGCTGCCTGTGCCCATCCCCGTGGGCAGATCTGCCTGTGTCCATTCCCAGGGAAAGAGCTGCCTGTGCCCATCCCTGCAGGCAGAGCTGCCTGTGCCCATCCCCATGGGCAGAGCTGCCTGTGCCCATCCCCATAGAAAGAGCTGCCTGTGCCCATCCCCACAGAAAGAGCTGCCTATTCAGATCCCTGCAGGCAGAGCTGCCTGTGCCCATCCCCATGGGAAGAGCTGCCAGCTGCAGCGGGGACCGCGGGGACGTCGGTGCTGTGGGGACATCGGTGCCCTGTGCCACCACC